AAAAAAAAAAAAAAAAAAAAAAAAAAAGGTTGCTATCACACAATTGGAGGACCTTTGGGACCCCACTAAGGGCGACTGGAAAACGGTGGCCAAGCTTAGAACACAGTTAAAAAATGTTAGAACAAAAAAGAGGGCACAGACACTTGAAGCTATCGCGATAGGTTGTTTGGCGCCTCGCCTTTAAACGAGGACTACTACTCGTGCCCGGGGACTGTGTGGTCCTCTTTAAACGCCTCCCCACGGGCCCACCGCGACGGTCCTGTATCAAGTGAAAAAATGTGTCCCTAACAACGACGAATCTTGAAGCGCACGAGCCCCACCTACCGGGTGCCAGATGGACCTCCTTGCACAGACAAGAAGAATGGGACTTCCAGGTGCCCTCCTACGAACTTGTGAGAATACGTGCGCTGGAAAACAAATATCACGCGACAGGTGGGCCTACGAACCAGATACCCCTATAAAAAAGAGTGCCCCTAAAAAAAAAAAAAAAAAAAAAAAAAAAAAAAAAAAAAAAAAAAAAAAGCATGCCTGAGTGTGTGGGAATACATGGACAAAGGGAGGTGTGGGGCAGCTAGTGACCCCCTTTCACGTCAGGCAGTGGTCCGTGCGCTCCCGCAGACAACTGAAGTGGTTAGCGGTAGATTGGGAAGAGAGACTGCACGCTTCACCCAACGGGATCCGCAGGACCTGTCATGGGCAAGGTATGCAGCAATAATGCCACCCGTCCACTGGGCCCTTCAATGGCAGATCCTCCGCAGATGCCTCCCCACACCAGGTTGGCTATTGGCTATAGTCTCATGGACTGACCAGGAGCAGAAAGGCATCCCCGCCCCAAATCTGCACTTGTTGCGGAAACTCCTCGCAGCCCGCGAGAGCAAATCCGGAGCATTGCCTCCTGGCTTGTCCCACGGTGGCACGGCTGCGGTGATGGTGGGATTCAGCCTGGCACTTGTTAAACCGCCAGTACCTTTCTCATCCGTCGGCCGCGGGCCTGAAATTATCCCGCACGCCAAGCTTTGCGGATGCATCTGGCCGCCGTCGCCAGCCGTTTCACGGCGGTCTGCAACCTCCGTGTTAACCGCAGCGTATATATATATATATATCGTCAAATATATATATATATATATCATATATATCATATATATCAGCCTCCTGATGAGTCGGTGAAACTCCGACGAAACAGTTTGTCACAGCCCCTCGTTTGTTGTCCTCTTCTCCTTCTCCCTCTCTGCCTACGGTTTACCGGGCAGTTCTATTTGACGATAAACTCCGACGAAACAGTTTGTCACAGCCCCTCATTTGTTGTCCTCTTCTCCCTCTCTGCCTACGGTTTACCGTAGGCAGTTCTATTTGTGACGATATATATATATGATATATATATATATATATATTTTAAGCGCGGAAAGGTACTGGCGGTTTAATAGGAGACCACATGCCATGGGATCTGGCGCTCATGCTCTAGGGAAAGCACACACCTCAATCTAAAATAAAAATGAGATTCTTTCGCTACCTATTTGATCGGGTATACGAGATTCGCCCCTCTTATGATAGCCTGGAGGACGAGACACTCCCACAAACATAACAGATGCTTCTTTGGTTTCCCACAGGCAAGAGAGGAAATTATTGGAACCGTAACCATCCGAACACAGGCTGCATGCAAGCCAATGAAAAAAGATCTGCAGGACGCCCACAACCACCTACGAAAACAGCAATGTCTGGCGACCTCTGGCCACCTTCTGAACAATATGGAGTATTATATGTGGAGATATTATGGACTGATGATCACTGATCAACTTCTTTTTTTCCTTTTCGTTTTTTTTCTACCCGTTTGTCTTGGGGGGGTGGGTGGGGAACAAAGGCCAAAACAACCTCATCTGGAAGAGATTGGTGGCAAACAGAACCTACTCCGCAGCGATTGTCTGCCCGCCACTTTCAGGTCCAATTCCAGGAACAGAAATTCCATTCTGAGCCCCACCCATGCCCTCCTTAGCGGCCGCCCCCACGAGGTGTGACAACAGCGAACTGGCACTCAGAAACATGCCCAACTAACGCTACCCCCCTTGCGTCCTTCCTTCACTTCCTTGCCTGACCTCTGACCCCCTTGCCGGCCTTCACCCCCTTGTGTCCTGC